TGTTTTATCATGTTTTTAATATTCTGTTGGGATATTATTATTATTATTATTATTATTATTATTATTATTATTCAGGTCTTTTTAAAGCAGGAACTCACTGGAACTCAGTTCTGGCACGTTCCAGGTGGACACCATTGCAATTGTAAGAGAACAAGGCAAGTTCTGGCACCTCTTTTTTATTATTTTTTAGAAAAATAGCACAGGTAATTCCTGAAGGACCTGCATTGGAACTGATGGCCAATTTTTACGCCTAGTGAAGTATTATGCATTTATTACTCTGAAAGGCAAATTTAAGGCAACTAATTTGCCTCAGATTTCCTCATTTTCCATTGCGCCATCACCTGCTAACAATGTCCATCTACTTTGTGAAAAGTAAGGAAAGTTGTGTCTCTCCCCACAAGGGAGACTAAAAGGAGACGAATCTGAACTTAAGATGGCAACACTTCAGGACCAGTGTGAGAACATGGTTTGCTGCTGAAAATGTGTTGTAGCATCAGGATTCATGGACCCAAGTCCACTTCATCCGATGTCTGTAATCCTCAGTTTTCATGCATATTTGCACCAGTGAGGGGGTGGGAATGGAACGCAATGCCGACGAACAACAAGAAGTACAGTCTGTGACAGTTTTGTAAAGCTCAAAATAACCCGAATGACTATTCACAGCAGTAGTTGGTGGCAGCACAAATCATCACAGTTTCATTATGTTAATTAACACCAGTAGTGTGCCAGGAAACCATTTTCTCTATTCAAACCCAAACAAATAGAACCCAAACTTCTTGATTACTTCCAGTACAGCTATTTCACACTGGCACTTGGTAACTTTGAGTTTCGAAGCAGAGTGTCCTGCGGCGGGAGAGGGAGTTATCCCACTGGTTTCTGAATCACTGTGCTTCAACAATGAGACTTCAGAAGAAGGCTCCAGCGTGAAATTGCTGAACTAGAAGTTATCAGCAAATTCGATTCTATTCAATTTAGGGTTAATCATAACCGTGGGTTTCTGTCCCGCTACTGGTGTTAAATTAACCTAGCATGGCGAGAAAGACTGCACCATCGCGAGTGTCTCTCCTCTTATCTTGTATACTGCTGGGCTCTGCATAAAAATGTCCCTTGCAGTATAAAATTTTGGTCCCATTGTTTACACTGTGTACGTGTGCACAGATCGTAGGACACCTGTCAGTTGATGGTAACACTTCACGCAACTGACAGAGGGGTATAAATCCAAATGTTTATGCCACAATAAATCTGATGTGTTTTTAAAGGAGTCGCGAGAATCTCTGTTGTTTTTAACTTTGCCTTTTCCCTCTTTAGATACTCTTCCTGCAACGCAAGAGGCCCTGTGTGAATTGAAATCCTTTCCTCCTGAATTTAATTCATCTTAAGATGACAATCATGCATCTCAGTGGTATATTTGAGGGCTTGCAATAGTGATTAACAAAGGCCTGTTGCTATTCTGAAGAGCAATGAAGTATGTAATTAAACATTTCCCCTCCCATATTGGGAGCAGAGTTTTTGAAGAGAACGTTGCTTGATTGAAAAGTCAGCTGTGTTAAATGGCTGAGTTCTACTTAAGCCACAGTCATCTCCGAAAACCTGATGACACAGGCAGGGCAGTGTGAGCTTTAAAATACCCATAGGTCAAGCTCTGCAATTAGTTTTAAGTTGCCAAATAACCTCCAACATTTCTCCGATGAAAATATGGATGTCCTATTCAATAATAATAGTAGTAGTAGTAGTAGTAATAATATACCCCAGCCACTCTGAGTAGCTTCCAGCACATATAAATTTAGTAAAATGTCAAACATTAAAAACTTCCCCATACAGGGTTGCCTTCAGATGTCTTCTAAAAGTTGCATAGTTGTTTATCTGTTTGGCATTTGAAGGAAGGGCGTTCCACAGGGAAGGCACTACTACCAAGAAGGCCCTCTGCCTGGTTCTCTGTAACTTCACCTCTCACAGTTAGAGAACTGCCAGAAGGCCCTCAGTGCTGGACCTCAGTGTTTGGGCTGAACGATGGGGGTGGAGACCCTCCTTCAGGTTTACAGGGCCAAGGCTGTTTAGGGCTTTCAAGGTCAGCAGCAACACTTTGAATGGTGCTCAGAAACAAACTGTGTAAGAGTTTAAGGACACACTTGAGCCAGGCAAAACCACCCAAGATGAAGCAGAGTCAACAAGGGCTGTGGCTGCAGATGGGAGAGTGTCAAGTGCCTGGGCTTCCCCCATTTCTGATTCTGATGTGTCTGTGAAACTGATGAAGACCCGAACAGATTGAGGAAGGGTCCGAATGGAGATTATCTCCCCCACCAACCCCCCACTGTGGAGATGAGCTGAAAGTGCTGTGTAAACCAATCTATGTCAGAAAGTTAGCCACAACAGATGAGCAAACTGGTGTCTGTTTTTAAACTTGCATGTCTGCAGTTTTGGGCAAGAAATCTGCCCATGCTCACAGTTTGGGGCAGATAGGACAGGAGGAGGGTGGAGGCTAAATAAAGTTCTGTTCTTCTTTGCCTGCTGAAGTAAAGTTCCACTTTTTGCCTGCTTGAGTAAGCCGGTAAGAAGCTGTTTGCTGCATACTATAAAAAGCAGCCTCAGAGACAAGGGGCGCTTAGATTTTGGGAAACATTCTCACTGTAGCCCCTGTGTTAAAGCTATGGTTTTCCCAGTAGTGATGTATGGAAGTGAGAGCTGGACCATAAAGAAGGCTGATTGCCAAAGAATTGATGCTTTTGAATTATGGTGCTGGAGGAGACTCTTGAGAGTCCCATGGACTGCAAGAAGATCAAACCTATCCATTCTTAGGGAAATCAGCCCTGAGTGCTCACTGGAAGGACAGATCCTGAAACTGAGGCTCCAATACTTTGGCCACCTCATGAGAAGAGAAGACTCCCTGGAAAAGACCCTGTTGTTGGGAAAGATGGAGGGCACAAGGAGAAGGGGACAACAGAGGACGAGATGGTTGGACAGTGTTCTCGAAGCTATCAGCATGAATTTGACCAAACTGCGGGAGGCAGTGAAAGACAGAAGTGCCTGGCGTGCTCTGGTCACAAAGAGTCGGACACGACTAAATGACTAAACAACAACAACAAAAGCCCCTGTGCAGGTGGATAAATGCCGACCTTCCTCAGAAAGAATCCGTGTCTGTCTTTATTGACTGGGAATACCTGCAACAAGATGAGCGCCTCTTTGCCTCCTTCTCTCCTTGGGTCTTTCCTCTCCTCCTGTTGCTCTGGCAGACTCAAGATCTTTAATGTCTCTTCCTTGAAAGGCGGCAACAGGGTGTGTGGGTTGGCTGGGTGGAGAGACAAACACCACCTCTGCTTCTCCATAATCTTCGCCAGACAGGATAAATATCAGTTTCTGCTATCTTACTCTCTCTGCAAAATCCTTTTAAAAAAACCCCCAGCTCTTTTGCTGTTGTTGCTTTTGTCACTTTCAGTTTTGTGTGAATTTCCTGGCGCCTATTTTCAGCAGCAGGAGGAGGTGGTCGAGAGATAAACAAGCCCGGGAATATCTGCATCCGCAAAGAGGCCCTTTGAAAGCAGATGCTCTCTCAAAACACTCTATCTGCACACTCAAATAAGTTGCTGATGCTGATAATATCACCCCTTTTATATTTAGCTGAAAGGGAATAATAGATCGCCCAGTTTACGGTTTCCTCCGTGTCTCATGCAAACCGCTTTGTTAGATTTCATAAGCTCTTTCAGCTCTAGTTACCAACACATGTATACTCATAAAATATTCATTTGGCAAAAACACATTGGGGAGAAAGCAGATTTACGCAGGTCCACCGAGAAGAGGGAAAGGAGGTATTGCAAAATACATAAACGCCACTGAGCTATACCATAAATAACAGGGGAGGGTGGGAAAGGGGGAGCAGTAGTAATGATTTTGTGCAAAGCTCTGTAAATCTTCTATTAAAATCTATGCACGTGCTTCCATTTCCTTGAGATGTAGTCTTCCAGCTGCTACAATAGTAGCCCAATCCTATAGATGGGAACTGGGAGCACAAGTTTGTAGTGCAAACTTCCACGTGTCTACTCAGATGTAAGGCCCACTGGGGGGCTTACTGTTAGATAAATTCAGCTCCGGTCGTCCCAGCTGATACGGCTCTTCTTCGCTTGAGCCCAGCAGAGTAGTAAACATCCTTCCGTTTGCTGACTCTGGGTAGCAGAGGATGGTTTCAATCGATAGCTGCGATCCGTTCCTCTGCCGTCCATCCATCTGGGCCCATAACCAAAAAATGTTAGTAAATTCAGCTCCGGTCCTCCGAGCTGATACGGCTCATCTTCGCTTGAGCCCAGCAGAGTATAATATACCCAGAGTCCACAACAGAAGCATGAGGCAGGTATGACTACATTTCTAAACTTTATTACTAAGCTATGCAGAGAGCACACAAATATACATCTTGTCTCTGTGAGAAGCAGAGAGTAACTCCTACAAAGAAACGACAGTACGAAGGAAACAGGAAACCAGTAAAGGTCACATCCCGTCTCCCTTTCCCGTGGGAATCCAACAGTATCTGGACTGTGGAATGAAAACATAGTCCTGTGACTACCAGCAGCTGCTCAGTGAGGGAAACAGCAACCAACACTTACTGCCAGGGAAGCGGGCAGTGGGATTGCAGACTCCTTCCTGTCACCTGGAACATGTGTCCCATGCGCAAAACATCAGCACTTACATTGCCACCAAAATTTCAGAGCAGGGCTGGAGATTTGTCGCTTCTGAAGCACCAGAGGAAACCCTACAATTTACGCCCCAAAGATGATTCAATCTGAGTTCACCCATCACCGTGCTCGCTTTGGTGATGTGCATTTTGAAGAATCTTTGAATTAAATGCAAAGAGCTCTGATAATGTAAGTCGTATGCAAAAGGAATTGGAATAAGGGCAAGGCTGGTCAGTGTACAAAGTTCAATTGCTAGCATTACTGCTTCCCCACCCATTTAGTGCTCTTAGAATATAAACTTGATGGAGGGCTCTCTTTGACTTTAATGGCTTTTAATGAGCTGTTTTATTCATCGAAAATCTTTTAAGTTACTGTATGCCGGTTCCTTCCATCTATCTTGATTGTCTTTTGCTCAGCTCACTCTCTACTGTAATCCAATAAGCAGAAAAGAGAGAGATGATTAAATTTCCTTATTTTTAAACTTACCATTGGGGCTTAATAACTCCCTCCCCCCTTTAAATTCGTATTTTGATATTCATTTCCTAGCTACTATGAGTTACAGATTTAATACACACCGATAATGCAATTTACAGCACAAAACGAATGTTATATATAAAGGCCTGTTCACAGAGCACTCTGTATTTGCTTTTCTCTCATGAATATTGTTAGTCTCGTTTCATGTCCTATTGGAATAAATTATCAAAGCCTAGCATATGCTGGGATTACAGGATGGCTGTTGAATTGCCACACCAGAATCACAGCTTTCATTGACTTGGAAATGCAGATGAAAACTATGGACATCCCAGGAATGGCTAAAACTAGGGTTGCCACCCGTCTTTTAAAATACGGATTTGTTCTGTTTTGTGGGCACAGAGTCCCCTGTTCCATTTGGGATGCTTCTGTCCCATTTAAATTATTCTTTAAAAAAAATAAAAATAAAAAGCTTGCTTATCTTGCACAGCCTAACTTGCTAGCACTTCCGAAGTTTAGCCCGCCCTCCAAAGCTGGCTGATTGATGTTCCAGGCTAGCCAATGGAGCTCGCCAGCCAGCAGGCTCTTCTGGGTTGGGTGGAGCTCCTGCCAAAGGCTCTTGCCAATGGCGTGGCCAAACTTGGCCATCCAGCTGTTTTGGGACTACAACTCCCACCATCCCTAGCTAACAAGACCAGTGGTCAGGGATGATGGGAATTGTAGTCCCAAAACATCTGGAGGACCATGCTTGGCCATGCCTGCTCTAAGAGAACAAGAGAAATGTTTCCTGGTGCAGCAGCCTCAATAATAATAATAATAATAATAATAATAATAATAATAATAATTTATTTATTCCCTCCCATCTGGCTGGGTTTCCCCAGCCACTCTGGGCGGCTTCCAAACCAATATTAAAAACAATACAGCATCAGACATTGAAAACTTCCCTAAACAGCGCCTTCAGTTGTCTTTTAAATAGTTGTTTATTGCCTTGACAGGGACGAGGGTGGCGCTGTGGGTTAAACCACAGAGCCTGGGACTTGCCAATCACAAGGTTGGTGGTTCGAATCCCCACGACGGGGTGAGCTCCCGTTGCTTGGTCCCTGCTCCTGCCAACCTAGCAGTTCGAAAGCACGTCAAAGTTCTAGTAGGTAAATAGGTACCACTCTGGCGGGAAGGTAAATGGCATTTCCGTGTGCTGCTCTGGTTCGCCAGAAGCGGCTTAGTCAGGCTGGCCACATGACCCGGAAGCTGTATGCCGGCGCCCTCGGCCTATAGAGCGAGATGAGCGCCGCAACCCCAGAGTCAGCCACGACTGGACCTAATGGTCAGGGGTCCCTTTACCTTTTATTGACTTGACATCTGCTGGGATGGCATTCCACAGGGCAGGCGCCACTACCAAGAAGGCCCTCTGCCTGATTCCCTGTAACCTCACTTCTCAAATCTTCAAATATTTCAAATCTAAGTCTCACTCTCTCTCCCATGGGTGTTTAAGGATTCTCTTTGCTTATTTCCACCTCTAGAATGGATCGGGCGGAGGCTGCAAAGGAGGATTTCTTACGTTCAGGGTTCTGTCGTTGAAATTGCCCAGATGAAGGGCGGCATACAAATTTAATAAATAATAATAATAATCTGTCCATCCCTGGGCATCAAAGCATCATAACCTTCATATATTGGAGATCTCATGGGGATGAGGGGTTATGTGAACCCTCTTGAGATGTTGGAGGCAAAGCTCTGTGAGTAAGAGAAGCAGACTGTGTTGCACTCTCTCTCCCCCTTTCTTTTTTTGGCTGGGTTTCTGGGCTCCTCACAGGGTCTCTGCCATGGGAGCATATTCACCCAGTGCTTTTCCAGCTGCACTGGCTCCCGGTGGAGTACAGGGTCAGATTTAAGGTGCTGGTTTTGACCTTTAAAGCCCTTCACGGCCTAGGACCCTCATACCTACGGGACTGCCTCTCCCAGTAGGACCTTACGGTCCATAAATAGCAACACACTAGAGGTCCCGGGCCCTAAGGAAGTTAGATTAGCCTCAACCAGAGCCAGGGTTTTTCAACCCTGGCTCCGGCCTGGTGGAACGCTCTGTCTCATGAGACCAGGGCTCTGCAGGATCTGATTTCTTTCCGACAGAGTTGTTCCACCTGGCCTTTGGCTTGGAGTCAATTTGACTCCTTCCCTCTTTCTTTTTCCTTTTTCCTCCTGTGATGAGGCTGCTTTTTAATGTTTTAATGTATTTTAATCTTGTTTTTAAGTTGTATTCATTCAACTTGTTTTTATTATTGCTTGTTAGCTGCCCTGAGCCCGGCCTTGGCTGGGGAGGGCGGGGTAGAAATAAAATTATTTATTATTATTATTATTATTATTATTAGCCATCCTTCTGGCAGGCAGAAATTCAGCAGGTGGGGAGCATTTCCTTTCAGTTTTCTAGTTGGAATGTTTGCAGTTATTGAGAGCTTCCATTTGATCATCATAATGGATTGCTTTGAAGTCATTTCTGCACCGGGTAGAAGTAATTTTAGCTTCCTAAATCCCCCCCAACCTGTCCCTTTTTTGGCCCCACCAAAGGTGACAACCTTACCTTAGCTAAAACATATACTGGTTCAGCAAAATGCTGCTTGAAATTCCTTTTGGAGGAAAGTCAACGCAGATGGAGGGACCATGAATTCAGGGAATATTTTGACATGCCCTTGCTCGTGGAGCTGCAACATCTCCTATTAGCCTTAAACTGCTCACATGTGTCACACGACCCCCCCCCAAAAAAAAAATCATTCAGTTTGTACAAACTCGACGCACACACACTCACACACGACATATGCTACGCTTCTGTTATAAATTCATAGAAAATCAACCATACATCGGATCTGCACCATTCCACTTTTATTTTACTCCATGAAGGAAGGACTACAAAATGGGGAAGGTTTGATACAGGCCAGCCATAATCCCTTGAGCATACCAGCACATACACAGGAGCCCTGCCCAGTTGCCATGCCAACCCTGATGGTCCTAGACAGAAGACCATCAAGGTCACAAAGGACTTACATATGGGAGTGGATTCAACACGGACTAGAACAAAGGACAATGATCAGATCTTCCCTCTGGGGGCAGGAAACTGGCAACTCCCTGTTGTCCTCTGGAAATAACTCATGGGGAGGGGGAGAGGAGGAACCAGCCAGGTGACAAGATACTCAGGTTACCTCCACAACTCCTCCCTCAACCCCTCCTTTTTGTGATGTGTCAATGATGTAGTCATGATGTAGTTGTGATGTAGTTCTAGGGGTGTAGTTTGGAGGATTAGTAACTAATAAAAGTTGGGGTCTTCTTTTGTTCTGTACTTCTACTTTGCTTCATCTTGTTGCAGGTGGGAGTCCTGTCGCGACAGTATCCAATAAAGGCCAAGCCTACAGGCTGCTGTTTTGCTCCAAGTTATCCTGGTTGGTGTCTTTGTTTTTGTCCAAAGGAGCCCTCGGATTTCTCCGTTAACAGTTGCTTAATTGTAACCTGGTTGGGTATCAAGTCAGTAGGAGGGGACCATTAGATTAGGTCTAATATGCAACAAGTTCTGCACACTTAGCGGTTTTGTATTATTGTGTGAGCACTACAGGGCTGACGGATTTCTTGAAAGTGATTCCCCTTCAACAGGAGCATTTCCCTACATACGAGAAGCAGGATCCGTGCCCTCTGAAAGAAAAGCAGAAGGTAGCTAGACTGCCTGCACTATTAATAGGGCAGGAGCAAATATAATGCAGCTGGTGTAACAGAGTCATGGTAACCAATAAGAGAACCAAATAAGCAATTTATTTTTAAGCAGAGATTAGAGAGAAATGTTATCACAGCATGTCTTTGAGGGAGGAGGGGGGGAAAGCATTTTCAACACTGAACTTTTTAATCTTGTGAGTCAATAAGGTACTGGGGGATGAATGTGTGTTGAGTCATTTCAAATTATCGAATAATTTATAATCATAATAGCACCTCTATATACCCAAGGATATTAAAGCACATTATGAGCTTTAATTAATTAGGTCTCTCTTGCAACACCTCTGTGTGGTAACTATTATTATCCCCATTTTACACATGAGTAAACAAAATAATTGCGTGTTTGGAAGAGCTGCCGGTCTTTAGCATTTCTTCTCATGCAGTGGGCAAGAATTCTATTTGCAGCATGGGGTGCAGGAGACAAAATCTAACTTAAGCAAGAGGAGAGACCAAGTATACACCGTAATCATTGTCCTAGTTGTAATCTGTTGCTTACGTGGCAATGAGCATTCGTCCTGATTAGTTTGAACAGTGTTTACATCCTTTCCTGTTAATAATTTGTTCATCCCACAGTTTGCACACCACTTTCCTAACTGCAAAAAGTCTGGAGTTGTTGTTGTTGTTGTTTTAGGAAATTGACTTGTTGCACTAGGTGACAGAAGACTTTATTTTATTTTATTTTAAAAATATTTTTTCACATTTTTAAACATTACAAAGATCCATTCAAACAAAATAACACTAATACTCCCCCCTCCCCATTTTCAAAATGTGCATTTTTTATCTTACCACATTTGATTACATTTATCTAACTTTAATTCGATCCTTTTTTAAAAAGTCTTTGGTTTTTGCAAATTACAAGTGTTATAAAAATCCTGCTAATTGTTGACAATGTTCTTTAATATAGTCTCTGTATTTTTCCCATTCTGTATTAAATTTGTTGTCCTCTTGGTGTCTGATTCTTCGAGTCATCTTTGCCATTTCAGCGTATTCCATCGTCTTCATAATCCACTCTTCTTTAGTTGGTGTTTTCTCTTCCTTCCATCCCTGGGCATAAAGCATTCTTCCAGCTGTCATCCTATACATAAACAGTCTTTTCATATCCTTTGGTAATTCTTCTCCTATTATACCTATTAAACAGGCTTCTGTTTTTTTTAAACAAAAGTTATCATAAACATTTTTTTCAATTCATTATATATCATTTCCCAGAATGCCTATACCTTTTTGCACGTCCACCACAAGGTGGCAGAACACTTTGATCTGCTTTAATTGTAGCTGTAGCCATGAAATAAAGAAACATGGCACAGAGATGTTTGGGTAAAACATGAGATCGTTTTTATTTAAATGTATGCAATTTTATGCAAGTTAACTGCAGTGTGACTGTATAGGAATCTAGGTGTTAACCAATCAGATGAGACAGAAGCGGCTTAGTCATGCTGGCCACATGACCCGGAAGCTGTACGCCGGCTCCCTTGGCCAATAAAGCGAGATGAGCTCTGCAACCCCAGAGTTGGCCATGACTGGACCTAATGGTCAGGGGTCCCTTTTCTTTACCTTTACCATCTGGCTGGGTTTCCCCAGCCACTCTGGGCGACTTCCAACAAAGATTAAAAATACATTAAAATCTCACACATTAAAAACTTCCCTGAACAGATGTAAGAGGAGGTAGTTCAAATCTCACCAACGTCTTCCTCCAGTGAGTCCAGTGGTTCGCAACCTTGGGTCCCCAGATGTTTGGGGCCTACAACTCCCATGATCCCTAGCTCACAGGACCAGTGGTCAGGGATAATGGGAGTTGTAGGCCAAAAACATCTGGGGACCCAAGGTTGAGAAAGGCTGCCACCTTAGGGTGGTTAGGGAGGCCTTTCTGACCCAGCTCCTTGTGGGCCCACACAACTCAGAGATGGAAGGAAGAGTCAGAAAGGCAAATCAAGATGATGGACTATGCCGAAATGGCAAAATTAACTGGGAACCTCAGAAATCAAGAAGACAAGAACTTTAAAAAAGAATGGGGAAAGTTTATAATTTATTTACGAGACCATTGCAAGCAGGTCAAAACATTGGCAGGATTTTAACCACACTTGTAAAGTAATGGAAAGTATGGATAATTTATGTTATATATTGAAAGAAAATTACCTCAAAATACAGCATAGATGGTATTTAACACCTGAAAGAATAGCAAAAATGAATAAAAATTGTAGCGATGTCTGCTGGCGATGCAACACTGGAAAAGGTACTATGATGCATATATGGTGGAATTGTTTAAACATCAAACAATTTTGGGAAACAGTATATAACGAAATGAAAAAAATGTTCAGATATTCATTTAGGAAAACACCAGAAGGTTTTCTATTGGGAATAGTACCAGGAAGCCTAAAGGAAGAAGACAAGACATTATATTTATACGCAACAGTAGCCGCAAGGCTACTGATTGCGAAAAACTGGAAAAGTGGTATTATACCGACAAAAATAGAGTGGATTGCCAAATTATTGGAGTATTACAATATATCCAAAACAATGGGAGAAAACAAAAGGATCTCAAAAGAGAAGATAGACAAGGACTGGAAGGCGTTTAAAGGATACTTGCAAAACCATATTGAAAAATCAGAACTCCTATTAGAATAAACAAGTTCCGTTTTAAATACTGAAATGCTAAATTAGATAGATAACAATGTGTAATAGGAAAAGAAGCATGAAATAAGGTTAAAGGTGTGTGAAAGAAATTAATAGAAGTGGAAAGAAATTGCAATTGAGTAGATTGGAAGTCTAACACAAAGGTCGAGTAAGGGGTGGTGGATGGTGAAGGGAAAAGGAAAAAAAGAAAGAAAAGAAAGTATGGATAATTTAGAATGATTTTTTTTTTGATAAATACTGATACGCAGTTGCAAATATTATCATTAGGACCCGTGGAAGGGATGGGGGGAAGTCAGGAGATTCTGAGTAATCTCGATATTTGGATTTTGAATTGTTGTTTGTTGAACGTTTATATTTTTTTAAGATTATATAATTAAAGAAAACAAAACCTAAAAGTACCTGTTCTATAAATGTACACTCTGCTCTGGACTGTAGAGGCTGAGTCCCCACAACCCAACCTTTTGGTCCCTTCCTGGACTTTGGTTCTCTCATGAGCCTCTTTCTTTGTTGTTGTTGTTGTTTAGTCGTTTAGTCGTGTCCAACTCTTCGTGACCCCATGGACCAGAGCACACCAGGCACTCCTGTCTTCCACTGCCTCCCACAGTTTGGTCAAACTCATGCTGGTAGCATCGAGAACACTATCCAACCATCTCATCCCCTGTCGTCCCTTCTCCTTGTGCCCTCCATCTTTCCCAACGATAGGGTCTTTTCCAGGGAGTCTTCTCTTCTCATGAGGTGGCCAAAGTATTGGAGCCTCAGCTTCAGGATCTGTCCTTCCAGTGAGCACTCAGGGCTGATTTCCTTCAGAATGGATAGCTTTGATCTTCTTGCAGTCCATGGGATTCTCAAGAGTCTCCTCCAGCACCATAATTCAAAAGCTCCAATTCTTCGGCGATCAGCCTTCTTTATGGTCCAGCTCTCACTTCCATATATCACTACTGGGAAAACCATAGCTTTTACTATACAGACCTTTGTTGGCAAGGTGATGTCTCTGCTTTTTAAGATGCTGTCTAGGTTTGTCATTGCTTTTCTCCCAAGAAGCAGGCGTCTTTTAATTTCGTGACTGATGTCACCATCTGCAGCGATCATGGAGCCCAAGAAAGTAAAATCTCTCACTGCCTCCATGTCTTCCCCTTCTATTTGCCAGGAGGTGATGGGACCAGTGGCCATGATCTTCGTTTTTTTGGATGTTGAGCTTCAGACCATATTTTGCACTCTCCTCTTTCACCCTCAATAAAAGGTTCTTTAATTCTTTCTTTATTTTAAGCTAGTTCACAGAGAGCTTGCTTGCAAGCCTTGAGGTATGAAATGCAGCTGATAAATGACAATAAAGGATTAGCTTGAAATATTTACAGTCTGTGATGTTAACAGCCATTTCATCTATATTAATTGGCAGCGCATCTCCACACCAGATGGCCCATTGCAAGGATAGAACATTACCCCAGTAGATTTATCCAGATTGCACATTAGGGAGTTTCAGGAATGCTGCTAACTTCTTTTACTGGTTCAGATTTGGTGAAAATATTTGCCCTGCTTGAGTTCTTACTGCACAAAAGTAATTATGAGTTATAATATATGTTTTACATACATGCCTCTTATCTGTTGCATGGGCAGGAGAAAAAAACGCATGAAGTTTGGTGTAGAATGCAACATAAACATAGTTTTGCAGTACAGTGGTACCTTGGTTTACGAACCGTTCCGGAAGTCCGTTCATAAACCAAAGCGTTCTTAAACCAAGACGTGCTTTCCCATAGCAGCGGGGGACAATTTCCAAATGGAACACACTCAACAGGAAGTGAAACATGTTCTTATTCCAAGGCAAAGTTCACAAACCAAAACACCTACTTCCGGGTTTGCAGCATTTTTAATCCAAGTTTTTTCATAAACTAAGCTGTTCTTAAACCAAAGTACCACTGTAATTGAGTTTTTGGTTGACTTTTCAAAGCCAATGTTAACTTCCATTTTTAAAAAATGTTTTTTTTAAAAAATCTGG